CCTGAGTAGGCTCTTGGTTTAGGCAAGGGGATTGAAAAGAGATTCATAATAGAACATCATGGGGATAGGGGAAATTATGTGCTAGATTTTCTAATGTAAAATGATAAATTATGATTCATATTTGACTTATAATCCTGGAAACACACACACATGTACACACACACATTATCTAACATCTGTTCAGTGCTTTACTATGGAAAAGAAGATACAAGTCAGAAACAATAACATTCATTCAGTGAGCTGCTTCCTGGTGAGTGAACATACTGAGGAGAAATCACAAAAATCTCAAAACTTCACAAGTTTTCATATGTTTTAATTGAGAATTTTAAGATTGTTATTCTCTATTTAATATGATTTATAAATTAGCTTATCATTTACTTGTTGTTAAAGTGTTGTAATGATTTACAGAAGTTTTCAAATTCATACACAAAAGCATGAATCAATAATGTGTTCAAAAGAAGAACCCTGAGAAGAAGGCAAACTATAGTGTCATTCCAAGCCAGGAAAACTCATTTTTTCTAGGACCCACCAATTTGTTTCTAAAACAAAAAAGAAATTCTGAATTAGCTTTACAGTTCACACTGGATAAATCCAGCCAGGAATTTTAGAGATGAATAACTCTTGATAGTGAACTAGAGAGAAGTTTAGCCAGAAAAAAATGGGAGTAAACAAGCTATTAAATTCTATTGTAGATTACTCTGTCTCAATCTGATAGCAAATTACAATAATCAAAGCCTTATATGATTGATAATGTAACTTACAAATATTAAAATGTTCTTGCTATTTTCTCCTACTTCTATGTTGACATAGTCAAAGACTATTTCTTATTAATTCATGATGTTATTATGATCATATATTTTATATCATAAAGTGTTCTTTAGATACTATACTATGTTGTGTTTTTTTTGAAACATAGTCCCACTCTGTAGTCTAATTCAGCCTGCAACTCAGTTTCCTGGCTCAGCCTCCTTGATGTAAACACATGTGTGAGCAACCATGCTTGGCTTATTTGCAATCTTGATGCCCTTGAGAGGAACTCTATCTTCATGTGATTCAATAGAATCACGTGATTACCTGTTCCCTGTTTTTACAATCCTCTGTGCACAGCTCTTAGTTTAGACATTAAACTTTGTTTTGACTCTAGGGGTTTCAATGAATGAACTACTTCTCAGCTCTAGGGAAGTATCACTCCTTCACTTTAGTGACAGTATAGACTAAACAGAAACATTTAAAATAACTGGCAAATATTGTGAAATTTATGCATTCAAATATATTTCTAATATCTACTTCAATATATTTAAAGTAGTGATTACTTTTTTAGTAGCCTTTCAAACTCTTTGGGCAAATAGGTTAATTTTCTCCACACCCCTCATAGATGGGTACGTTATTGTATTTTTATAAGTATTAGAAAACTGATTATGAAACTGAACATGTTAGTGTCTCATTAATCCCTAAGACTCTCTCTGCTTGTCATAGGTTTGCTGCAGGAGCTGCTCTTTCAATAAATATTGATTGAGTAATCCTGGTGGCAAGTACACAGATTCTGGAACTTGTAAGTTACCTGAATGGACTTTAAACCTTCTAAGGATTATGTATGTGGAACTCTTATTCTGTACTTTGGACTTTACTTAAAATTAAGTAATTTAATCCTCACCACAACCATGTGAATTATGATCGTTCCTATATTAGTGAGGGCACTGAGGGAGAAGGAGTTAAAGTCAAAAGCCTAATGTCAGAATAATCAGATATTAATATTGAGCCCCCAGGACTCAGAGACTGAGTGGGGCTACCTTTAAATGCTAGTCTGTTCACAAAGGAGAATGAAACCCAGCCACTGCAGTCAAGTTACTTAGAGCCATTTGGAGCACATAGGTTTCATGGAATTATTTCAAAGAAAAATGCTTGTCATAAACAAGTGCATACACAAAGTTCTATACTAGGACGTGAACATACGAAGGAGGAAGTGATTAGTGACAACACCAGGTGCAGAGTTAATCTGTGCCCTTCCACACCTCCATGCTTTTTAATATAAAAATTGTGTTTTTATTGAACAAGATCATTTCCCCTGAGACTTCAAGGGTCAATTCAGATAAATTATGTTTTAATTACTAAGAGAGGAATGGTCCCTACAGCAAGTAAAACAATAATCTGGTTATTTTACGACATTGCTCATTTGGTTCCTTTCATCTCATCTTCCCAACAAGACTTGTATCCTCAAATACCTGCATTCACCTAACCTTTAAAAAATGTTTTTTAAATTTATTTTGTTTATGAGTGTTTTGTCTACCTTTATGTAAGTGCATCTGTGTCATGTAATGCCTACAGAGGTCAGAAGAGGTCACTGGATCCCCTGAAACCCAAGTCATTGATCGTTGTGTACCACCATGTGCATGCTGGGAACAGAACCCCAGTCCTCTACAAAAGCATCCAGTGCTCTAAACCATTGAGCCATCTCTCCAATCCCTTACCTAGATATTTTTGGCATTACCAATTGCACTTAACTTTTCTGAACAGACATCTGGTCCTTATGATGAACAATGATATAATCATGTTCACACACTGTGTACACCTCTGGTAGCTTGTGTGATGACACTTCAGTGATTTCCTTTTTTATTTCCATGTAGGAAATTTAAAATGAGCCAAGTGTGGTGGCTCACGCCTTCAATCCCAACACTTGGGAGGCAGAGGCAGGTGGATCTCTGTGAGTTCCAGGCCAGCCTGGTCTACATAGTGAGTTCCAGGCCAGTTGGGGCTACAGGAAGACCCTGTCACAAAAAAAGACCAAAAAATAAAAATAAAAAAAGGAAAGGGCCTTAGACCTGTAAATGCTCAAACCTCTATATAGTTTCCATCTTTTTAGGAGCCACCTGACTCATTCTAGCCCATTACTTTGTGTGTGTGTGTGTGTGTATGTGTGTGTGTTTGGGGCTTTTGCTCTGTTTTTAAGTTTCAGAGAAATTCTACTGATTCAAGAATTTCATACAATGAATTTTGATTATATTTAGGCCTCCTCCCCATTTCCACCCTTATCCTACCATCCCCCCCACCCATTTCATGTCATCTATTATCAAATGAAAAACTGCATCCATCTTACATAACATCTCTGAGCTGGGTGCCAGAGAAATCAGACCTTAGGAGTGTCCATGATCCATAATCCTTGCACAGAGGTGTGCCACAGTAAGGGCCCACTCCCTTTCCCTTGTACGTGGTTTTGGATCAGAATATGCCCAGGTTCCTTGGACTAGGATTTTCACTCTTAACTCCTGTTTCTTTACACACTACTTTAAAATGTCGAGTAGGGATTTCTCTGAGGGAAACACTTGGTTTTCATCATCAAAGTTAGTTGTTCACAGCCCTTGCATGCAGGTTACACTTTGGCTGTTTCGGGGCCCTACACAGCACAATGACCCCACTATGAACCAAGGCATTTGTCAACAGGTTGATTCCCACAGGGTTTTACTCTGGGTAAAAATAGAAGCTAGGTCCTCACCACAGGCAGCAATTAGTTTAGGTTTCCAATCCAATAGTCTCTGAATGGCAATTGGGAAGATTCATAGTTTTATACGACAGCTTTATATCAGTGTCCTCTAGTTTGTTTTCTGAAATCTATAGACTTTTCAGATTCCAGATGTTATTGGAGACTTCAGCCAGCCACTGCGTGATGATGCTAGTTGTCCAACCATGGGTACCACCAGAGCACATGGGTGGGCAGACTGGCTCTGTTCTGCCCCTGCTGGTGTGCTTGGGTAGCCAGGCTCTGCTGCTGTATATATAGGTGGTCACTCCAGTGTGGCTCTGATGGTGTGTGTGGGATGCCAGGCTGGCTCTGCTCTGCTAGCTCACATGGGCAGCAGGGCCAACACTGTGCTACTTTCTTGGCCCCCCAGTTATTTTTTCTGGGTTCACAATTTTTTAAAAAGTTTTAAATATAGTTTTATTAAATGTTTGCAGATTTCACACAATACATCTTAATCATATTTAGCCCCCCATACCTATCTGCATGCCCCCATAGCCCATTCATAGGACTTTATGCATTTATGAGTCAAGTTCATGTACCTAAATGTGCCTTGGTGTGAGTTAATCCACTGGAGTCTGTTTAGCCTGGGTAGCCTCACTCCCTTAAGGAAGATCAGCTCTCACTACCCAGCAGCGATCAGCCGCCAGTAGTGCCTCACCAAAGTTGTGATCTCATTCCCATTTCCCCAGTCCTATGCTGGTATTTGCCTGACTGAGTTTGCATGGGTCTTGTGCACGCTTGTCATCATTGCTGTAATTTCATATGCTGCAAGGTCCCAGGAACCTATAAGACTGCTTCCTTATGATCATATACTGCCTTCCCTGGCTCTTACAATCCTGCCCCATTTCCCCAATAGTCCCTGAGGCCTAGGTGGGTGAGAGTTAATATAGGAGTCCTACACAGGAACCCACACTCTGCAGTCTTATTCTCTACACTGGCCAATTGTGGCCTTTTGTGTTCATCATGTCATTGCCCTGGCTGGTGCCACAGAATTGCTCTCCAGTGATTATCTTTCTTACTTACAAAGTCATGAGCTAAGATTTTTAAAAAATTATTTTATTTATTAATTTAATTTTATGCATATGAATGTATTGCTTGCATATATATAAGTGCATCCATGTCCTGCAATGCCCACGGAGGTCAGAAGAGGGTTTAGATCCCCTGGAACTTGAGTTAGGATGGTTAGCCACATTGTAGGTGCTGGGAAGCAAACCCTGCTTCTCTGCCACAGCAGCTAGTGTTCTTAACCGCTCTACTACATCTACAACCTCCCCTTGCCCACCCCAAGTGAGTTCAGAATTTTTTGATCAATATAGAAGTGCCTATGAAAATATCCATTGTGTATGAAAAAGGTTCCCCACATGCTCCATTGCCCACTGGGTCTCTCTGGAGTTGGAACGCCCCCGACTGAGGCTGGCTGCCGGGGCACACCTCATTCTTACACCATCGTTGCTCTCAACATCATCACGTTGAGTTGCCTTTTCATGTTACTTCTTGTATGTATCAAAATTCATACTGAATAATGACTTCTGGGTTTCAAAAGAGGATTTATTTTTGCACCTGCTTTTCATGCATTTCATCACACACACACACACATACACACACACTTCATGCATTTCATTACACACACACACACACACACAATGCTTCCATTACTTTGTTTTGATCAATTTTGCATATTTACTTTTTCTACAAACCTGTATTCCTCAGGAAACACCCTTTAGTGTTCACGTTTATGCTGCTACCAGGTCCTTTCCATTATATATAGAACACAACGCTTAGTTAATAAAGGTCTGCAGAATGAGCTGTGTATTTTCTTTTTCCTTCTTTCTCTTCTTCCCTCCCTCCAAAAAAAAACTTCCTTCCTTCCTTCCTTCCTTCCTTCCTTCTCTTTTGACAAGATCTCCGTGTAGCCTCAGATTGCCTAGAAATTTTATGTAGAGCAGGCTGACCTTGGTCTCACAGAGGTCTGCCTGCTTCCACCTCCCAAGTGCTGGGATTAAAGGTTTGTGGCACCATTACTGGCTGTGTATTTTCTTAAATATAAAAATATTTCAAAGATTTGCATGTGAATGTGCAAGCCCCTCCTAACTGTCGATGCTTCCAACAGAATATTGTTCCAGTTACTAGCCTTTACACCTGGATTAGACCATTGATCAAAGAATCTTTTTTTAATGTTATTTTTAAAATTTTTTATTGAATTCTTGATGCATTTCATAAAATACAACTTGATCTTATTTAGAACCACTCCCCAATCTGCACCAGCCCCATAGCCCTCTCCCATATTTCATGTATTCTGTCACGTATATTAAGTCCTATGGAGTCAAGTTTGTGTCCACAGATGTCCCTTAGTGAGTCCATCCACTAGACCCTGCTCAACCTACCTAGTGTCACTCCCTTAAAGGAGACCAACCATCCCTCACCTAGCAATGATCAGTTGCTAATAGTTCCTCAGCTAAGGTTGGGGCTTTTTACCTATTTCCCCATTTCTATGCTGGATTTTTCTCTGATTTGAGTTTACATCAATCTGAAGATATTTTTTAAAGTGGACATTCTAAATACTGACCAGCCAGGCAAGATGTACCCACTGGTACAATAGTGCCAAGTCTAGTATGTGGGGAACCACCTTCTTTATGACTTGATATGAAGGTACACAGAAGACATTGAAATCTGTTACTGAAAGCCAAGTAAACAATCCAGACATTGAATAGCAGAAGTCAACAAAGAGACTGCACAAAAATATTGACTCTGTACTGTCGGCCTCCTAATACCTGCCTCCCACCAGTCCAGATTCATGCCACAGAAAATTCATTCTCTGAACTTCAAGGGAGGATCATTTGAACATTTCAGCAACCCTTGTACTAATAAAAGCAAATTTCCACACCTCATGGGTTTGAAGGGATGAGCAAAGCCAGCCTCTGGCCAATGTATAGACAGTGAAAGTGCAGGACATCAATAGATTTGGTGGCCATGGTGACAGTTGTAAGGATAGAGTAGGTCATTAAATGTGAGATTGAGAGACACTGAAGACACAGGAACGATGACCAAATACACAAACTATGGGACTAGGAACAAGTTAAAGCTAAATTAGAAATTTTTACTAATAGAATGATAGCAAATCATGACAAATGAAATATGATGAAATAAAATTGCAGTGTGCTAGAGGACATTTGTGGGACAGATTTTGAGGAAGCAGCTTGTGTCACTCCCCTCCTCAGTCTCCACAGAGAACAATGATGAAAAGTCAGCTGAACATGAGGAACAATGTTCACAGCACTTGGGCAGCCAAGGCACAGGGGGATAACTCGTAAGGAGAAGGGACACTCTGAGAGACCTCCTACAAGGAATCTTCTAGTCACAGCAGCATCTATGCCTTCTCTGACATATAGAGACTAAGCAGAAAGGGACAGCTTAATGCTATCCACAGTCTGAAGTAGTTTTCAGGGATAGTTATAGAAATTGTATTATTATAGGGAGAGCAGAAGCCAGTCTGAGGGAGGCTAACATCCAGGAAGAACAAGAATGTCGAGATTCTAATAGATTATTTTACCTTTGACAAACTTCTTTGGCCTCTAACAACTCTAAGATAAGATGCTTCTCTTTGGGAGACAGAATCTCAGTAGACTGACCATTCTAGACCTCAATTCCTGGCTTCATATCTCTGCCTCAGTCTCTCTGATAAAGGCCTAAACTGCCTTTGGGTACAAACAGTTCACATGCATGATCATGCTGTTATTTATAAAAGCTAACTGGTGTCTTCTGAGAATTATGTGTAATTTTAATACAAATAATGCTTATGTGAGTAAGTGGACTTACATATGCAAGTCTTGTTAGACAGGTTCAAAGGAATGCAATGGTCAAATAACAAAATAAAACATCATAGGTTATATTGGTGCAAAACTATCTGCCTTATCATTTAAATACACTTTATCCGAATGACTGTCTATTGGGGAAAAATCTTAATTTCAATTTTTGATGATGTAACAATAAATAGAAATTTATTGATTAAAATTTGAATCTCAACAAATCAATTACTTGTGGAAATGTTGATACTACTCTATAAATTTTATTTATGCTTTCTTGCTATGATAATCGTATTGTTCTTTTGATGACATTTATATAAACTTTGTATATTAAATGGGTCTAAGTAACAGCTGTAGAAAATGGGTCTCTCTCCTTGGGTCCTTCTCCTTTCTGAAGGGAGGTACATTTATGGGTGATCTCTCATTCTCTCCTCTCTCTCTTTCTCTCTCTGTCTTTCTCTGTCTCTCTCTGTCTTTCTCTCCTCCAGTAGTTGAATACTTACTCGCTGACTAGAAAACATGAGAGTAGATGTTGTTATTTGAATGATAACATTCTTTACCATTGTAATAATCCACTGTTCTGATTAATTTGTATATTGAATTGTGACCCTGAAATCACAACTTTGGATCTACCAATGTGGATAAAGGGCAGTGCAAACTCCCACTGATTCTCTCCAGGCAAAGAATCAGTCTCTCCAAGTTTACTTTAGCTGCATTGACATTCAACTGGAAACATACTACAGATCAATGGAGCAATGATGCTATATGCCAAGAATTCAAGTAAGAGAAGAAAAATGTCCAGGAATACAATACGTTCTTGACATTTCTTTTGGATACTAAAATGAAAGGGTTAGTAACTGCAGAAAAACAGGAAGGCTCAGAGGACACCCAGCAGCCTAAAAACAGTGGTAAGTGACAAAGACGGTTTAGAATCCCTGCATTTGTATAACCAGCTGTTTTCATTATAACTAGGTTTAGTGCTGTATCTATTAAAAAACAACTGAAGCTAGATTTCAGTGTTTGAGAAAAATTGGAAGCCTCATTCACCATTCAACATTAGCAGATCTGGAACATGGTTTCCCTATGTTCTGTGATGAATCTCTTTTCAGTCCCTTTACCTAAATCAAGAATCTACTCAGGAAACAAGTTGGTGGTGGAGGAATTCTCTCTCAAGACCTTAACAGTGACAATCAGTTTGATGGCTTTTCGAAACCAAGGATAAAAGAAAGCATAAATCAAGGGGTTCATGGCCGAGTTATAGTAAGCGATCCAACCTAATATTTCGCAAACATAGGTGGGTGTGATGAAGCCTAGGAAGGCGTCAATGATGGAGTCGATGAAGTATGGCAGCCAGGAAAGGAGAAAGGCGGCCACTGCGATGCCCAGGGTCTTTGCTGCTTTCCTCTCCCTCTTGGCCACTCTGTCCTTGTAGCTGTCTGCTGACTTCTTGGCAGTCTGATTGCTCATCCTCAATCCTCTGAGCCTGCTGCTTAGCGATAAGGAAAATCCTAGAATAAACAGTTATCATCACAAGTGTGGGAATGAAAAACAGTAGAAAATTGATGAAGACCCAGCTTTGATTCACTGCAATTTGACAGCCCCCCCCCCCACAGGTAAGGACACTCACGAGATCCTCCAGCCCAGCTTCATTTGCCCCCGTGTAAAGAAGGGAAAAGTTATAGATGATAGACAGGAGCCAGGACAAGGCAATGTATCTGCCAGAGATAGACGCAGTGAACCTGGTGGGATAGATCAGGGGGTCACTGACAGCAATGTACCTGTCCACGGAGATAAAGCACAAGCGGAAGATAGACAAATAACAGAATGATAAATCGAAACAAGTGTGCAATTTACAGTAATTCTCCCCAAAGTACCAGCAGCTCTCCACAGACCTCACTATGCTGAAGGGCATCATGGTCAGTCCCACCAAGAAGTGAGCACAGGCCAGGGACGCCACCAGAAAGTTGGCAGGAGAGTGCAGCTGCTTGAAATGAAGAATTGAAATCATCACCAGGAGGTTTCCACACACAGCCAGAACAGCCCCAAAGCCAAAGACTGCATAGAGGGTGAGGCGGGGGACTGGGGAGTAGGGTGTTTTGATACAGGATCCATTCAGGTTCTGGTAGCACAGCTGGACAGCTGTGGGAGGGTCCAGATCTTCATTCATGATTCTGTTTTAGTCCCTGAGAGAATTCTCATCCTTTGTGGCCATGTATGCCATTATAACTTTGAAAAAGATTCTTAGAACATGAGTAACATTTGTCAATACTTGTTAGTGCATGTTTTCATTTTTCTTTGTACTTACATGTCTTTATTCCTGTGCTTAATTAAATAAAGTATTATTTCAAACCAGAAAAATAATCAGCTTAAATACTACATAAAATTCTATTATTCCTGTTTTTACTGTTTTCTCTATGTTTTCTATTTCTGTGTATCTGAAACATATTTGTATTGAAAAGCAGTTGTCTACTAAGAGATGCACGTTAGTGCAGCCTTTTATCACCACTCTTATCCTAATTTACCAAAATACTCCTTTTCTCAGAAGACACAAAATGATTGAAAATGCTTGAAGCCCATAGGGTTGAATCCCCATGTGTAAGGTGAGGTAACTAAGAAGCTTTCAGTAACAACCATGCTTATGTCACAACCCAATTATGCCCACCTAATTTGCTGAGGAAATGGGAATGCAACGCACGCTTTTATCCAGAATCTGAAAGTCATGTTGTTCATATTCTAAGCTTTTTTTTCTTTTTGGTGAAAAGTATTTATTGTTGATTAATGTTTTAACTGTCCTTAAAAGGCCTT